ATAGTTAATATTCTTACCAACAGCATAATTTAAATGTATCAGTTCTTCTTTACTCCTCCTTAAAAGACCATGGCTTGAATCAAGGGTATCTTATTTCTTAAAGTGACATTTATGGTTTTAAATACTTCAGAGAGGTCTTTTGCAGCAAATCTGCCCAACTCACCATGCAATTTGACTTACTGACTCTGTATTCCACACATGTTGGTTGTGAATTCAAGTTAAGTGGAATTTTCGGCATCTTTCTTTAATCTTTTCTCTAGCTATCATGTTGCTGCCTATTGGGTCAATAGTAAGGTATTTTGGCTTCTTTATGTTAAAGTGCAATTCACACTGAAGCCTGTGTAGTCTTTGATCTTCTTCGGTAGTTCTTAACATTTTCTTCACTTTCATTGGCAAGGCTCAATGAATGAATTATATTATTCATTAGATTAATGAATCTCCCTCCAATCCTGATAGTGAATAAATTATTCATATACTCCAGTTTATGGGAATATTTGCTTACCATGTAGACTGAATTATTGTTAAACACTATCCAGTCAACTATGACCCATAGCTATTCATAGAATGAAGTATGACTCAACTATGTTCCTAGAATCTTACGAATGACACATAGAAACCCTGCCCTATCCTATACTAGCCTCATGATATCTGCCAAGTTCAAGGCCATTTTTGCAGTCCCTGTTGCAGTACATCTCCTTGAGAGTCATCCTTTCTTTTGATGATCTTCTGCTTTTTGGAGAGGAAATAGATTGATTAGATATGATGAAAGGATACTACAACACAGACATTTTCCTTTCCTAATTTTAAACCTTGCACTGCCACTACCTTATGTTCTAATAGCTGCCTCTTGATTCTATGCAGATTCCACATGAGCACAATTAAGTATTCTGAAGTTGCCATTCTTGTAATCATATCCATATTTTTTTAGCATCCACACAGTGAAATGCTTTTGTGTAGTCAATAAAACTCAAGTAAAGATGTGTCTGTTATTTTCTGCTTTCAGTTTCTATCCATCTGATGTCAGCAATGATATCCTTATTCCACATCCTTTTCTGATTATGACTTGAATTTCTGGCAGTTCCCAGATGATGTACTGCTGAAATAGTTTTAAAGTATCTTCAACAAAATTTTACTTGTGATTGATATTAATGATATTATTTGTTAATATCATCATCAAAGAGCCTGTTGGATCACTTTTCTTTGGAATAGATATAAATACAGATCTCTTTCAGTCAGTTGGCCAGTAGGTGAGGTTGCATTTCCAGCATTATATCGATTTTCTGACAAATCTCAACTGCTAATTAACCAATAGGTGAAACCTTGAATTTTTAAAATGCCTTTAGTCTAGCTAGAATGTCTTCCTTCAATACCATCTATCCTTGATCATGTGCTACCTCTTGAAATGCTTGAATATCAACTTAGTCTTTTTTTGAGTACAGTGCCTTTGAGTATTTCTTCCACAATATTTTGATTCTTCCTATATCATTCAGTGTTTTCCCCATATAAGCCTTTGATACTGAAACTCAAGGTTTTCCATTTTCTTGAGTTCTTCAAGCTTGAGGGATGTGGAATGTATTCTTCCCTTTTGGTTTCCTGCCTCCAAATCATTGCACATTTAATATAATAACTTTATTTTGTCTTCTTGAGATGATCTTTGTAATTTGTTCAGCTTTTTTCACACCATCAATTCATGTCTTTGCTTTAGCAAGAGAAAGTTCCAGAGCCTCTTCTGACATCCTTTTGATCATTTCTTTCTTCCTCTTTGGCATTGATGATTGGTGGGTGAATTTGATAGATTTTAGAGTGGTATTTTTGACAGTGAATGTGGTTCCAGTCCTCATCAACTTGTTGTTTCTTGTATTGTAGGAAAATACACACACACACACACACACACATGATTGTCCAATTCAAAATGGTCAATCCTAGTTCATTTTAGACTACTAATGCTTGATGGCCTAGTGGATAAAACATTACAAAGTTGTGTTACCAAACCAAAGGCAGGCGACTTGAACCCACCAACTGCTTCTCATGAGAAAGATGAACAATCTCCTGTGCAATTAACAGCCACTGAAAACTCATTGGAGGGTCAGCTATGCATTGGTTCCAGCTTAACGTCACATGACGACAACACTGTTGATGCATAACAACAGCAATAATAACAATACTCAAGATATGGATCTTGAAGTGTTATATTTTGTCTTTACAACTTATCATTTTCCTGGAAGAATGCTTTGCATATTCCATCTTCTGCTTATTGGTGGATGCTTGCAGCTGCTGCTTCTCATTTTGAGCCATGCCACACCGGCAAATGTGGGTCCTGAAAGCTTTACTCCGCTTATGCCATTAAGGTTGTTTCTACTTTGAGGAGTTAGACCTTTTTTAGCTGTATATTTTCAGTACTTTGAACCTGAGAGTCTTATCGTCTGGCCCTAAGGAAGGCAATGTTCTACAATTCTATAAGAATTATACAATTCTATAATTCTTAAGACTTGGCAATTATTTTAGAACTGTACTGCCAGGTCTTTCATCCTAATCTTTCTTAGTCTGAAATATCTGCTGAAACTTATCCACCCTGTGTGATTTTGCTGATTTTTAAAACAATTTCTGCACAGCTTTTGGCATTACAGTAATATGCAAGTCAATAGACAGATAAATTGACAGATGAATGGTGGTGAGTAGTCAATATTCAAAGAAAAATGAGACAGTATTCTAATGTTCCACAATCAGCAATGTGTCCTGGTACTGGCATTCTCTGTAAATTTTATCAATTATATACATAATACATATACATATATATAATACATATATATAAATGTATATATACGAT